ATGCTTATTCACTTTTATTAGTAGCTCTTCTTTTTTTCCTGCTATATGTAGATGATCTCCAATAATTAGAAAAGTTCTCTTCGATTGTTTACTTTTGATTGCTTTGCTGTGTCTTGATGTTTTTCTTTTTGATCAGAGGCTTTCGTTTGTCTCTGCCTGAATTGGATGAACCAAGAGATTGACGAGAGTCCATGAAATATTTCGTTTTGATGTGTTGGCTGGTGATTCTTATTCATTTCTATGAGTGGCTCTTCTTTTTCTCTGCTAAATGTAAATGATCTCCGGGAGTTAGTGAAAATATTCTTTGAAATGTTCCGTTTTGATTGCTTTGTAATGTCGTGATGTTTTTCCACTTTAATCGAACGCTGTTGCCTGCATCTGCCAGAAAGGGATGATCCCAGAGATTGACGATATTCCATGAAGTATTTCGTTCTCATATCTTGTCTTATTATGCTTATTCACTTCTATAAGTTGCTCTTGTTTTTTCTGCTATATTAAGATGATCTCCGAGAATTGGAAAGTTTGTCTTGAATAGTTTGTTTTTGATTGCTTTGTAATGTGATGTTTTTTCACTTTGATCGGAGGCTGTTGCCTGTCTGTGCCAGAAATGGATGAACCCAGAAATTGACGATAGTCCATGAAATATTTCGTTCTGATGTCTTGTCTAGTTATGCTTATTCACTTTTATTAGTGGCTCTTGTTTTTTTTCTGCTATAATTAGATGATCTCCGAGAATTAGACCATTCATCTTGAATAGCTTGTTTTTAATTGCTTTGTACTGTCGTGATGTTTTTTTTTCACTTTGATCGGAGGCTGTTGCCTGTATCTGCCAGAAATGGATGAACTTAGAGATTGACGATAGTCCATGAAATATTTCGTTCTGATGTCTTGTCTAGTAATGCTTATTCACTTCTATTAGCGCCTCTTGTTTTTTTGCTAATTGTAGATGATCTTCGAGAATTAGAACATTTATCTTGAGTATTTTGTTTTTGTTTCTTTGTAATGTCGTGATGTTTTTTCACTTTGATCGGAGGCTGTTGCCTGTCTCTGCCAGAAATGGATGAACCCAGAGATTGACGATATTCCATGAAATATTTCGTTCTCATTTCTTGTCTAATTATGCTTATTCATTTCTATAAGTTGCTCTTATTTTTTTCTGCTATACTAAGATGATCTCCGAGAATTGGAAGGTTTTTCTTGAATAGTTTGTTTTTGATTGCTTTGTAATGTCGTGATGTTTTTTCACTTTGATCGGAGGCTGTTGCCTGTCTCTGCCAGAAATGGATGAACCCAGAGATTGAGGATATTCCATGAAGTATTTCGTTCTCATTTCTTGTCTAATTATGCTTATTCACTTCTATAAGTTGCTCTTAATTTTTTCTGCTATATGTAGATTATCTCCGAGAATTAGAAAATTTCTTTTCAATCGTTTCTTTTCATTTGCTTTGCTGTGTCGTGATATTTTTCTATTCGATCAGAGGCTTTTATTTGTCTCTGCTAGAAATGGATGAACCCAGGCATTGACGATAGTCCATGAAATATTTCGTTTTGATGCCTTGTCTAGTTATGCTTATTCACTTCTATGAGTGTCTCTTGTTTTTTTTCCTGCTATTTTAGTTGATCTTCGAGAGTTATAACATTCATCTTGAATAGTTTGTTTTTAATTGCTTGGTAATGTCGTGGTGTTTTTTCACTTTGATCGGAGGCTGTTGCCTATCTCTGCCAGAAATGGATGAACCCAGAGATTGACGATAGTCCATGAAATATCCTGTTCTGATGTAGTGTCTAGTTATGCTTATTCACTTTGATTAGTAGCTCTCCTTTTTTTCCTGCTATATGTAGATGATCTCCGATAATTAGAAAATTTCTCTTCAATTGTTTATTTTTGATTGCTTTGCTGTGTCGTGATGTTTTTCTTTTTGATCAGAGGCTTTTGTTCGTCTCTGCCTCACTTGGATGAACCCAGAGATTGACGACAGTCCATGAAATATTTCGTTTTGATGTGTTGTCTGGTGATTCTTATTCATTTCTATGAGTGGCTCTTCTTTTTCTCTGCTAAATGTAAATGATCTCCGGGAGTTAGTGAAAATATTCTTTGAAATGTTCCGTTTTGATTGCTTTGTAATGTAGTGATGTTTTTTTTATTTTAATCGGACGCTGATGCCTGTATCTGCCAGAAATGGATGAATCCAGAGATTGACGATATTCCATGAAGTATTTCGTTCTCATGTCTTGTCTAATTATGCTTTTTCCCTTCTATAAGTTGCTCTTGTTTTTTTCTGCTATATTAAGATGATCTCCGAGAATTGGAAAGTGTTTCTTGAATAGTTTGTTTTTGATTGCTTTGTAATGTCGTGATGGTTTTTCACTTTGATCGGAGGCTGTTGCCTGTCTCTGCCAGAAATGGATGAACCCAGAGATTGACGATAGTCCATGAAATATTTCGTTCTGATGTATTGTCTAGTTATGCTTATTCACTTTGATTAGTAGCTCTTCTTTTTTTCCTGCTATATGTAGATGATCTCCGATAATTAGAAAATTTCTCTTCAATTGTTTATTTTTGATTGCTTTGCTGTGTCGTGATGTTTTTCTTTTTGATCAGAGGCTTTCGTTTGTCTCTGCCTGAATTGGATGAACCCAGAGATTGACGATAGTCCATGAAATATTTCGTTTTGATGTTTTGTCTGGTGATTCTTATTCATTTCTATGAGTGGCTCTTCTTTTTCTCTGCTAAATGTAAATGATCTCCGGGAGTTAACGAAAATATTCTTTGAAATGTTCCGTTTTGATTGCGTTGTAATGTAGTGATGTTTTTTTTTCTTTCATTTTAATCGGACGCTGATGCCTGTATCTGCCAGAAATGGATGAATCCAGAGATTGATGATATTCCATGAAGTATTTCGTTCTCATGTCTTGTCTAATTATGCTTATTCACTTCTATAAGTTGCTCTTGTTTTTTTTCTGCTATTTTAAGATGATCTCCGAGAAGTGCAAAGTTTTTCTTGATTAATTTGTTTTTGATTGCTTTATAATGTCGTGATGTTTTTTCACTTTGATCGGAGGCTGTTGCCTGTCTCTGCCAGAAATGGATGAACCCAGAGATTGACGATAGTCCATGAAATATTTCGTTCTGATGTCTTGTCTAGTTATGCTTATTCACTTTTTTTAATGGCTCTTGTTTTTTCTGCTATTTTTAGATGATCTCCGAGAATTAGACCATTCATCTTGAATAGTTTGTTTTTAATTGCTTTGTATTGTCGTAATGATTTTTTCACTTTGATCGTAGGCTGTTGCCTATATCTGCCAGAAATGGATGAACCCAGAGATTGACGATATTCCATGAAGTATTTCGTTCTCATGTCTTGTCTAATTATGCTTATTCGCTTCTATAAGTTGCTGTTGTTTTTTTCTGCTATATTAAGATGATCTCCGAGAATTAGAAAGTTTTTCTTGAATAGCTTGGTTTTGATTGCTTTGTAATGTCGTGATGTTTTTTCACTTTGATCTGAGGCTGTTGCCTGTATCTGCCAGAAATGGATGACCCCAGAGATTGACGATATTCCATGAAGTTTTTGGTTCTCATGTCTTGTCTAATTATGCTTATTCACTTCTATAAGTTGTTCTTGTTTTTTTCTGCTATTTTAAGATAATCTCCGAGAATTAGAAAGTTTTTCTTGAATTGTTTGTTTTTGATTGCTTTGTAATGTCGTGATGGTTTTTCACTTTGATCGGAGGCTGTTGCCTGTCTCTGCCAGAAATGGATGAACCCAGAGATTGACGATAGTCCATGAAATATTTCGTTCTGATGTCTTGTCTAGTTGTGCTTATTCTTTTCTATTTGGGGCTCTAGTTTTTTTTTCCGCTATAGGTAGATGATCTCCGATAATTAGAAAAATTCTCTTCAGTAGTTTCTTTTTGATTGCTTTGCTGTGCCGTGATATTATTTTTCTTTTTCATCAGAGGCTTTCGTTTGTCTCTGTCAGAAATGAATGAACCCAGAGATTGACGATAGTTCATGAACTATTTCGTTCTCATGTCTTGTCTAATTATGCTTATTCACTTCTATAAGTTGCTCTTGTTTTTTTCTGCTATTTTAAGATGATCTCCGAGAATTGCAAAGTTTTTCTTGATTAATTTGTTTTTGATTGCTTTATAATGTCGTGATGTTTTTTCACTTTGATCGGAGGCTGTTGCCTGTCTCTGCCAGAAATGGATGAACCCAGAGATTGACCATAGTCCATGAAATATTTCGTTCTGATGTCTTGTCTAGTTATGCTTATTCACTTTTTTTAATGGCTCTTGTTTTTTCTGCTATTTTTAGATGATCTCCGAGAATTAGACCATTCATCTTGAATAGTTTGTTTTTAATTGCTTTGTATTGTCGTAATGATTTTTTCACTTTGATCGTAGGCTGTTGCCTATATCTGCCAGAAATGGATGAACCCAGAGATTGACGATATTCCATGAAGTATTTCGTTCTCATGTCTTGTCTAATTATGCTTATTCGCTTCTATAAGTTGCTGTTGTTTTTTTCTGCTATATTAAGATGATCTCCGAGAATTAGAAAGTTTTTCTTGAATAGCTTGGTTTTGATTGCTTTGTAATGTCGTGATGTTTTTTCACTTTGATCTGAGGCTGTTGCCTGTATCTGCCAGAAATGGATGACCCCAGAGATTGACGATATTCCATGAAGTTTTTGGTTCTCATGTCTTGTCTAATTATGCTTATTCACTTCTATAAGTTGTTCTTGTTTTTTTCTGCTATTTTAAGATAATCTCCGAGAATTAGAAAGTTTTTCTTGAATTGTTTGTTTTTGATTGCTTTGTAATGTCGTGATGGTTTTTCACTTTGATCGGAGGCTGTTGCCTGTCTCTGCCAGAAATGGATGAACCCAGAGATTGACGATAGTCCATGAAATATTTCGTTCTGATGTCTTGTCTAGTTGTGCTTATTCTTTTCTATTTGGGGCTCTAGTTTTTTTTTCCGCTATAGGTAGATGATCTCCGATAATTAGAAAAATTCTCTTCAGTAGTTTCTTTTTGATTGCTTTGCTGTGCCGTGATATTATTTTTCTTTTTCATCAGAGGCTTTCATTTGTCTCTGTCAGAAATGAATGAACCCAGAGATTGACGATAGTTCATGAACTATTTCGTTTTGATGTCTTGTCTAATTATGCTGATTCATTTCTATCAGTGGCTCTTGTTTAGTTTTCTGCTATATAGATGATCTTCGAGAATTAGAAACATTCTCTTTAATAATTTTTTTATTGCTTTGCTCTGTCGTGTTGTTTTTTTTTTCTATTTGATCAGAGGCTTTTGTTTGTCTCTGCTAGAAATGGATGAACCCGGAGATTGACGATAGTCCATGAAATCTTTCGTTCTGATGTGTTGTCTTGTGATGCTTATTCCTGAAATATTTTGTTCCGATCACTTGTCTTGTGATGCTAGTCTTGGAATTTTGTTTTGAAAATAACAATTTCTTTTTTTTATTTGTTTTTTCGTGGTTATTTTTTCGCTTTGATCAGAGGCTGTTGTCTATCTCTGCCAGTAATGGATGAACTCAGATATTGACAATCGTTCATGAAAAATTCGTTCTGATTCATTGTTTTGTGACGTTTATTCAAAACTGTTAGTGGCTGTTGTTTTTCTTTTCTATACCTATATGAACCCCGAGAAGTTAAATAAAATTGGAATTGTATTTTATTGCTGTTGTGATGTTTTTTTGCTTTGATCAGAGGCTGTTTCCTATTTCCTTATCAACTATTTCCTGATAATATTTCCTTCTGATTCCTGGTTGATATTGTTAACTATCTAATTTTTGCTATATCACTATATGGATTCAATTTATTAAGAGGCTAACCGTTTTTTGCCAGTAGTGTCCTTATGGTTTCGTGACGTTACATCACTTTGAAAGGGGACTAGAATTTTTTGGTTCTCTACGTTTTGTGAGTTCGATTTTACATAAGTAAATTATTTTGTTTAGCTAAAATTGGCAGCATACAAAATTGAATTAAAAAATTCGGTTTGTCTTGATTATGATCTTTGCAAACATAACAGTTGTCAACTGAACCAATCATATATGTTTCCAAGCTTCCGAGTTTTTCTCTGATATACAAATCCTGAAAAATTTGAAGAAATTTATACGATAATTTATATACGATTATACGAAATCGATAATTGGCGACTCTTTTTTTGAGACTTTCCTTGTACTGCAAGATGATAGATTTTAGGGGCGGCTCAACTCCAACACAAAAAATTTTCTGAGAGTAATCAGAGATTTTCGGGGGGCAAAAGATATAATCGAGCTTCAAAAACAATCTGAAAAGCCTTGAGTGGTCGCTATAACTGAGCAAGGATTTTGATCTCGAGTTATACTATTAAGTTTTTATACAAAGCCAAAATATTCGGTTATACGTTATACTATAGTCAGATTATACGATTTTAAGTTACGTTTTATAATTGTACGTCATATATCACAGGAACAGGTGACACTTGTTGACTTTTGGCCTTGTTCTTTCGAGAAAAAAAAAACGAAGTATTTTTGGTTATAATGATTGATCTGGAAAGAAACGATGGGTTGTGATAAACAAAGGTGGGGATTTTCCTGAGACTTGTGAGATTGTTATTTTCATTTCAGCGCTGTTGAGAACATATATATGAAATATTTTGTCTTTGTTGTGAAGGACCTAAGAATGCTTGTGGTGTGGCTGTTCAATTTTGTAAGATTCGACGCGTGATTTGATTTGATTGTCTTCGTTGTCAGCTTAGATTTATCAAGGACCGTAAAAATATTTTATGAATTGACGAGGTAGCAAGTTATGAAGCCTCTGTAATGGTGGCAGTTTGTTTTTACACTTCCTTGTTTTGTCTTTGTTTTTTGTTATGGTTTTCCGCACCCGTTCACTTGTTTGTCTATGTAGCCTCAGGGTATTGAAGTACACAAAGATTGCCAGATGTTTTTGTTCTAGACGTCTCATTCTTTTACTTGGGACGGCTGAGTAAACATGCCACAAATTTTCCTAGCCGGTGGTCCAATCCAGATTCTTGCAGCTGCAACGAAAGAACGGCAGTTTAAAGTCTTTTCTGGCTTTGTTTTAAATAAGAAGTTAAGGATTACCGATTACATATGTCATTTGTGCCCATTAAATCTCTTAAAAGCTTTGATCTTTCTTTGATGAGGCTGCTTACCATCTCTGTTTTGTCTGCTCGATCAATTTTTTGATAATGGTCTGATTGTCGTCACGATCAAACGATTTGAGCTGTCTGATTTAAAATTGGTGGATTAATAACTACTTGCGTATATTGCCAATGAAATCGAAAAATATCTCTTTTTATAGATACAATTAAATTAAAAGCTAAATATAAAACTTCACTGTGTAGATTGATTTAAGACAGACAGCGCTTGAGAGAAGGTGCTTGTGGTCATATCTATATTTTTGTGGTTGGTTGACTGCTGCTTAAAAATAGATAAAAATAGTTTGGAATCAGTCTTGCGCGGACGGTTGAACGCACACCCCCAGAAATTAAGCCAATGATACGATCTGAATTTTGATACGCAGCAAGAAGGCTTTGAGTGGCCTACAATTTATGAATTTTCAATTGAAAATTATCAATAGATTATTGGATTGGTTATATTGAGATTTTGTGTAACAGTTATAAATATGTATGCACCTTGTCACATTGGCTTAAATAGTTCTCATTTTACTCTGACTCGGTTGATATTGATTGCCGTGGTGCTCATTACCCCCTTATTGAGTGGCTCCGGTTCCAGAGTGAAGCTTTTCTTCCATTCAAAGAGATATAAGTCGCAAGTGTTCATCGAAGCAAAAGAAAACACCGTCTTATTCTGCAACAATCAAGTAAGTCACAATATTGCACCATTTGACACACAAACAAGTTAAGCGTACGTTGAATGTTTTGCCATTTTCATTAGATTTTGTTTAGAAACTCTAACCCCGCTTCAGTGATTTTTCTCTAACTAGATTTAACTTGCGTCAAAGATGACCCATGTAGAGAGTGACTTTTCGTATAAATTGTCTTTAGTTATAAAGCTGCGGTTTAAATAAACGGTTTTGAATTTAATACACGGATCGACTGAGCAAGCTGCAAATTTGTGTCCAAACAGCCCTAAAAATCGAGCCTAAAGCAACAACAATGACGTTGAGTCGTTGCATGAACAGTATTCGTCACTCTTGGAAAACTAAAAAGCATTTTTTAAAGGAATGAACTCTCACCCTAAATATTATCAGCAACTTCGAGTCACGAAATCTCGTTTAAACTAATTTTTTCTGCCTCTCTCATCTATCTCAAGAATTTCAGTAATTGTTCCGACTTTCGTAACGAAAGTAACGGAATATTTGTGCTCGGGGCGGGTTTTTTTTCTTCAGACAAATTTCGACTTTTTAACTAGCCATTTTTGACGGAATTTTAAAATATCATTCAAAAGGTATTGTTGTCTTGAGCTTAAATTCGAAAAGATAGTTCACCTGTGATTATTTTTTGCAAAGTTTTGGAACGATTTCTAAGACTGATTAAATCTCCGCTGTATATCCGTTAATAGCGCGAAATATATCGCACGTTAATTGTCCCAAAATGGCAATCTTTAAACCCCCATAACTTTACGAAAACTGATCACAGGTGAAATGTATTTTCAATTTTAAGCTCAGGACAACAATACCTTTCGAATGTTAAAAAAAAGTTCCGTCAAAAATGGCCAGTTCAAAAGTCGAAATTTGTCTGAAGAAAAAAAACCCACCTCGAGCACAAATATTCCGTTACTTTCGTATCGAAAGTCGGAACAAAAATTAATTTTACTTTATTGATGTTAATTTGTTTTATGTTATTACTGCTCAATAGACCTTAAAAGGCAGTCGGATACGAGCAGTCTTATTATTCTTAGTACGAACTCACACACAAGACATTCTCTTGTCATTTCGTTGGCTTATCTTCAGTGCGGATTCTTGAAGACTAACTTTACTTCCTAAATACCCAAGAAGTTGGCCGAAAACATTTTTCAATGACAATTTTTACAGTATAATTGTTGTGATCAGATCAAGATGTGATGCTTATGCATTTGGTGGAACTTTTGCTCTAATCTTGATATGTAGAATTGGAAATTTGAATTGCTTTTTGCTTTTTGAATTGCTCTTTTCCTGAAGTTTACTTTCCACTCATTGTAGTGCAACAACTCTTGCTACAGAAACATCGGAAAATAATATCGATGAAAAAATAACAGAACTTTCAAAAAGTTCTGTTATAGTTTTTGTGATCAGATTAGTCTGCATGTATATTTGCGCATCAATCTGTTTTGGCAGCATCCGGTTGCCCTTGTTTTTTCTGAGCTCTTTTTGAAAAATAAAAATGAGAATACATTAGAGCCGGTATAACGGTGGTATAAGTTCCTACCCCGGCAGGGTCATGGCGAAGTAGCGATGATCTTAGACATTCCCAATTACATGTTACTTATTTGCTGTAATTTATTTTTCCATATGATTCCCATCTTTTGATGGAGGTGAGATGCTGTGACTAAAAAGTACTTACAGGTGAATTGCATTTGATAAATCCTCGTTGATGTAAACTGTGAAGGAGTGTGTAACTGTTCGCCTGCTTCTGAAAAAATAATTTATCTGAATGAATAGAATGCTGCAATTTTCTGTCTCGAGGTCAGAGTGCAAAAGTTTTGTATAAGTTATTAACAATTGATTCTATCCTTGGTATAAACATTTGGTTGACCTTTTAGGATTGTGTTGCGAGTCATGATGAGCCAGACCACTTTGCCAGTCTGAACTTCGTGTCGTGGCAGGAGTACACTAACCTGGGCTTCCCCATTGTGACCAGCAACAAGTATGAACAGATGCACTCTCTCAATGGGTTTCACAATTTCGTAGTGGATACTCATTCCAAGAAGGATCACTCTATGCTGTGTGACAGCAAAGACCTGTTCGCGAAGACTAACAAGCAGTAAGAACTATTTCTGTCTATACTTTTCAGCAACGCTTTCGTTATAAACAAGCACCGATGGTTTGAAGGAGCTATGCCTATATTATTTCTATGAGTCGAACGTTTTTCCATGCCGCTGCCATGCAATTTAAAATACACTGCGAAAGAAAATGAGAAAATATCAGTTGCTTAGCTATCCACAGATCCTCAGAATTCTGTCTATGATCTGTTTAATTCGGTCGAATTCTATGAACAATTTTTGTATAAATGCCGAAAGTTATTTTTGTCTTTGTGTGTTTAAGGTGCAAGGGACTGTCGTTCAAAGGCAGATTGAGTCCCAAACTGGTGGAGAGTGAGCGACCCTGGACAGCCTCTCTGTCTGTGCTGAGTGTGAGCGTGGACATGACTGTGTTGAAACAGAGTGCCCCCTTCACCTTCAGACACACGCCAGAGTACAAACTGGCACTCAGTCCTCTCGATATAGTGATCCAACTCACAATCACTGGCTGGTCCTTCTGCAACCTCGGAAGTGGTATGTACTAACTGGGTAACATTTAAATTGCACCCATTTGTTTTTGAGTGACAGATTTGTATAGGTAGTTCAAGCATGCATGATATTTTGTGATAGTCAAAGTTATTTTGATATTCATGTGTCCTGAGTTTGCCGAGTGCATTGAATAGAATCTGAGGAAGATGTAGATGGAAGTATTTTAGGCTTTAAATGTCCATTGGAATTGCTATTCAAAGGCATAAAATGGGGGAATAAATGAAAACAATAAATGCTAGCTCATTGAAATTTGTTCAGCGGAAAGCAGTTAGGGTGCTCAACTGTTGTTGCCGCCGGGACTTTTGAATACTAATTGGCCCTAATTGTATAATCAATTTCAGTTGAGTGTCCTGTGCAACTAGAAGCTTCGGACTCCACCCATCTGGTGTTCACTCTAGACTTCAAGTTGGACAACTTCCGACCCAGACTAACGGGTGAAACAAACCACTACAAGAAGTACTCACTGGGTGACGGAGCTTGTCTGTTCGTGGGAAAATTCTATTACCGCACACACCCCACACAGTTTTACAACCCAACTACCCCTGAGTACCAGAATGATGCCATACCGCCGGCGTTTGAGGGGGTGCAGTTTCTAGTGAATGGGGGAATTTTCCCGCAGTTGAAAAATGAGTCCAAACCTGTATGGTTGAAGCAACCCCCAGGCTTCCCGACAACTGATTTCAGCTCGAAGTTTGCGTTTTTCATGGAGCAAACGAAGAGTCTCTACGACGAGACAATGTTCGAAATTGTCTACAGACCGCCTAGCTTAGGATCAAAGTTGCCAAATGGGTGCTGAATTAACTCAATCGGCAATTTAGACTGACATAAATTAATCCCTAGCATAATTTCTTGATACTTTGTCAATCTCGTGAAATGTTGAAAATATTTCATGTTTGAACTCGTTTTAAATATTCATGCTATACTAAGAAGATCTGAGGGGCTAGTGTATGAAAATTTCAAAACTTATCACTACTTTCTCAAAACCTTATTATTTTGTCACAAAATGGTTATTTATATATCAGTTTTGTGCTCACAAAGGCATTGTGCTTGATCAAATCGTAGGCAATTTTACAACAAGTAGAACAATATTAAGTACAAAGTGATAAAAAAAATTTGTCCTATTAACAAATCAATTAAGGCATGTAAGCTTGCTTGAACCAATTTGGAACGATTTATAAGACGGATTAAATCTCGCTTACGCGTTATTAGCGCGAAATATATCGCGCGTTAATTGTCCCAAATTGACCAAAATGGCAATATATAAACCCCCATATTTGTACGAAAACTGATCACAGGTGAAATATCTTTTCAAATTTATGCTCAGGACAACAATACCTTTCGAATGATAAAAAAAAACCGTCAAAAATGGCTAGTTAAAAAGTCGAAATTTTTCTGAAGAAAAAAAACCCACCCCGAGCACAAATATTCCGTTACTTTCGTATCGAAAGTCAGAACAATAAAACGGAAATAATTCTTGGGCGAAGCATGAGTTCGAATCCTGAAGTATCAGAGGGTTTGATTTTTTAAGTTCGAGTTTCTTCGAAGGTCTAATTTTTTATTTTTAAGAATCACTGAACGTAATGAAATCTCTTATATAGGTCTTGAAGATTTTCTTCGTTTTTGTTCGGGTGAGCTCTACAGATGTGCATTCAATCATATTAATGCATTAAAATTATATATGCAGTTTGTGAATTCAATTCAAATTCCTCTGCTAAATATTGAGTAAAATTTTTCTCCAAATACGAACGTGGAAATTGCGCGAAAAACGTGAAAAACTTTCTAGTTTCGAAAGTTGATTTTAATTTTAAGATGTACCAGCGGAATCAAAAATGAACCTATTGATCCAGTTTTTTTAATTGAGTTAATTTTGACTAAAAAAAAGTTCAATCATAATTTTGCCTTGAAAGTCAGAGCACTAAGATAAAATAGTTTTGATGATGAAATTTGAAATTAAAGTTAAATAAAAAAAAACATTTGTTTTTTTCCGTTCAGTGACTCATTCGGACTGTCTGTTGGCTTAAAACTTGCATGCTCAATCCAAGGCAAATATTGCTATTTGGAAAACAAATCGGCAAAGGGGCAAAAAAAAACGAGCTTCAGAAATGGATTTTAATTTAGGGCGTTCCAGTGGAATCGAAACTTTAGATATTGCTCCAATTTCTCACTTAATTAAACTTAAGACAACTTAAAAAGGGACAGTGCCCTCAAAGATTCTTGATTTGCAAACTCTTTTATGGTAATTCATCCATTTCCGGTAGTTTTAATGTTTTATTTTTTTTTTTGAGTTTGCCACCAAAAATCAGGCACTACAATCATCGGAATGGGCCGAGTGATATATCTTATTAAAGCCCTTTTAGTCTTGATGGGAATTTGATTAACTGGCTCATAAATTAGTAATGTAAAAAAAAATCAAAAATAGAATCTGCAAAGAAGAGTTTTTTGGAAATATGTTTTAAACTGTTTGTTGTTTTTTAGTGATCGAAGACAGCTGTTGTCTCAATTAGGTCTAACGTCCTACGCGTTCGTTAAGTTCTATCATTGCAACACGCTCAAAATACGACACCTATTGAAAAAGAAATGTTTTTATTATTTTTATTCATGTGGTCGGAACATTGCGACACTTGCACAGCAACCGGTAATCCTTGTTACTACTCAATAACGGTTTAACAAAAATGGACATTTACGACCACTACTCTGTGATTCGCGTTAGTTTGTGAGTCGAATATCGTTGTCTCGACGAAATGGTATGGTTTTTCAAAATTTATTCAAAATTTTGGTCTTTTATGGTGCTTTTAGAGCTCAAATTTCTTGTTTTATGCTTGATTTGTAAAGTGCAGCTTACCTTCTGCGTAGTCTGTGGTTAATCTTTTGCTGTTCCTTGAAAAATTGCTCAAAATCAGTTGGATGTTTTTATTAGTATAATGGGTATTGAGAGGCCTTTTAACCTCTCCTGCAAAAGATACACAAGAAGGCTTATGTCAAGGCAAAACCCTGACTTAACCGACAGCCCCTTAGATCAACATTTAGTCATTCAGTTAAAAAATTCAAATAACGATTTAAAGTGGAGCAAAAATGTTTATAAAGTACAGCAAACTTTTTTACAAAAAATTTTTTCATATTTGCAAACATCCCCTCACGCACACATGCACACAATCTATGTAAATTACAAAGTCAAAAAGATGAAATTAGCGTTCAGCGGTCTTTTATTAATCATAACAGTTACAAAAGAAGGTGTCTTGTAATCGGGAATTACTTTTTTCCTCGTAACAACTTTTCTTGCAAATTTTCAACTTGCGTTTTTGTTGAATCGTATCAACTTCCAGGTTCCTTTGTACTCGGCCTAGAGGAAATGCCGTTGCCTTTGCACTCTAAGGTATTGGGTTCGACTCGCGGTCGGACCTTGTTATTTTTAATATGTGTCCAATGAAAAATAATTTCCGGAAAAACTGATATGTGGGACTTTCGTTTATCTTCTCACGTTTTGTCGGTTTAGTTGTAACATTGCGGATTTTACTTGCTGGGCATTATTGCGTAGAGTTCCTATTAGATAAAAATAGCTATAATGAAAATGTATCGAAATGAAATTTAATTTTTTTAGACCCTTTGGAAAGTTACTCAATTTTCTCAAAAAGTATTTAACTGATTTCAAACAAAGAGTATCAATTGAAAGACTGAATAATTTTTTTTGTGTGTGCATTATCTCGTAGTCTCTTTTCCCTAAGTCTCTGTCTACATCCTTCAAAAGTCTGTGGGGGGGGGGGGCTTTTCATTCCTATATATTTCCTCTAGTTCTCGAAAAATTTTCCCCCGAAATCTGAGATTTTGGTTTCAATGAATAAAACGGACTTGAAAAGCTCTCCTGCATATGCGACTACGCTCAAAAAATTAAACACAAAATTATGGTCCTCGGTATGTCACATTTTTAATTTTTTTTGCCGTTATTTGAATCTTTTCAACTTTTCTTGAAAACTAACCCTTTAAATCTGAGGTTGTGGGTACAATAAAAATAAAAGTTAGTAGGAGGCTGCCCATCATAAGCGACCACTGACAAGTTGATTGCACAAAAATTATTAAGCTTAAAAAATCAAACTTCTGACTTTTTTACCCTCTCATATCTGCGATTTTCAGTTTAATCCAAAGAACAGGTTGTGGAAAACTCTTTTGTATATGAGAGTACGCCCATTTTTTAACACATGCTATGGCTCGGAAATGTCAAACGTTTTAAAGCGGTGCCTGGTTGTTGGACTTTTCTTGAAACATATCCTGCCAAAATGGATTTCATAATTTTAATCGAAACAGCAGGCTGTTGAAAATCTAACTTTATAATTGGCTACTCCCAATTTTTTTCAGAGAAAAAAAATAATGACCTTTAAACAAGTCGAAGTTTTGTTCCTGACCGTTTTTTAGTTTTTGAAAACTAGCCAATTCTCAGTTTAAGTGTTCAATCTAGAAAACCGGTTTTGTGAATATTCTCAATGCTTTTGATCACGACTTGTTTTTTGCAGACAAAATTCAAGGATTGTGTAAAGTCCAGTTTTTTTAAGTTTGAACGTTTTTTTTAGAAACTGTTTGACTTTACTTAAAAACTACCCTATCAAATTTGATAAGAAAAAATCAATCAAAAGAACCGGTTGCGAAAATTTTTCCTGCAGTAACGAAGATTTACTTTTTGTAAGAGAAAAGTTGAGTTTTGGAAAAATTTTAAAACCCCAGAAACCGCAAGGTTTTGGGCAGTCCAAGTTTTGAAAAAACGCATTTTGTCTCTTGTCAACTTAACCAATTCAAAAAAATCAAACACGTGACTCCAGCTTTAGCTGGGCGTCTAGTTGTTTTTTATCGTGACACAAAATAATTTTGGTTCACCTCATCTTTTTTCAACATTTTTCATTTTTTAACTTACTTTTTCTTATGTTTGTGCTATATCACATGTGTTGCAAATCTCCGCGTCGTCACTATGGAAAAAGCTTGCCTCATATCAAAATGGAACAATTTCTGTGCCACAAACAAGTTTTTTAAAAAACTAATTTTATTGTGTCAAGTAAAACTGATCGTGTAACTAATGTATCCAAATCACTCACCAATGTATCCAACTTTGTTGTTCCGGCCGATGAAATTGGATCGAAACATGGCCTTCGGATGTGTTTAGTTTTTCATTTTTCCACGAAATATTTTGTCACTACAAAGAATAATCGGAATGGGTCGGATGATATAACATATTACAACCCTTTCAATTGTGATTCGAAAAACAAATATATAAAAAGTTTGGTGAGAAAAGACTGTTCGATCTCCTTTTTTTGATAATTTTGATCAAATAAAGCGAGTGATGAGATTTTATTTAAGCCCTGAAATTTAGTTGTGCTCGTGTAAATTTATTTCTAATTTTTTCTAATGCATTTTTGTCAATGAAAATTTTTTTTTTCAATCTTCGGAAAAAAACTGCTGTCAAAACTGCCGAACTTACTGTTATTATCTAATATGATTAAGTTTTAGTATTTCGTTCAGATATTCTCATCAAACCACATGTTTTTTTCCCTTGCCGTTGTTGGAACTTTCTGTGCCATTTGCACAGCAACAGGCTGGCCTAGTTAAAATTTTTCAGCTGTTTGTACAGTGCTGATTTAAATCAACCGAGCAAAACGAACGAACTTTGAAATTTCAAAAGCGTGTTTTCTCAAATTGGGTTAAGTTTCGACAAAAACAGAAGAGAACAAAAATTGTTTAGATTTTCACCAGAATTAATATGGGGTAGTTTCGCCGAAACTACTTTGTTAATAGATGAGATAATTATATCACAAAAAGCCTGCTACACAGCCCAACAACGTTCCAGAAGCTTTATATCTCCAAAAAACTGTAAAAGAAAAAAATGTTTTTGCTCGATAGTCTAGAAACGTGATTTTT